GAGGGGAACTTGCAGGTGGTGGTGTTTCTGTGTATCTGCTGCCTTTGACCTTCTAGGTGGCAGATGTCACAGGTTTGGAAGACACTATCAAAAGAGGGTTTTATGATAAATTGAAGAGAGAGTAAGGTAGCAATAAGAGTGTGGCAGGAAGGAACAATATTCAGAGTGCACCTGGGGGTGAGGCTAGAGGTTGTAAGAATCATAAATAGGCAGAACTAAAGGCACTTATCTAAATGTGAGTATTTGTAACAAAAGGGATGAATTGACAGGTCAAACAGAAACAAATGTGTGAGCCATTGTAGAGAAATGACTAAGGTGAGAAAAGGATCTATGTTTCAGAAGGACTAAATTTCAGAAACTATGAAAAAAGGTTGAGAGATAGCTCTGTTAATTAAGGATAGCATTATTACAGTAGAGAGCGATAACGTTTGCTCTAAAGATCAAGATGTAGAATCCATTTTGGTGAAGAAATGATAGGTCAATTGTGAGAGTAGTTTATAGGCCCCCTATCTGAAACCACCTTGTAGGACTGGGTATACGAAAATAAATAATAGGGGCTATGAGAAACGTAGAGGGATAATCATGTGTGACTTTGTTGATTGGAAACCAGACTGGCAGAGGTAGCCTTGATCATGAGTTTATCGAGTATTTTCAGGACAGCTTCCTACTACAGCATGTTCTGGAGCCAAAGAGCAGTGAATTCTAGATCTCATAATAGCAGTGATCGTAACACAATTGGATTCACATTTAATTTGAGGGAGAGAATAGTTCGTCCAAGACCATGTTTTAAATTTAATAAGGACAATTTTGAGGGAATGAAGACAGGATTGACTAAAGAGAATTGGAAAATTTTAAGTTAAGGAATCGATCAGTAGATGGCAGACATTGAGGGAAACATTGCTTAACACTTAGCATAAATACATTCCAGCAAGAAAGACAGTTCAGATGAAGTACGCACCATCTGTAGCTAACTAAGGGAGTTGAAGATGGTATGAAATTGAAAGGAAAAAAAGTATATTTCCATGAAGAATAATGGCAGGTCAAAAGACTGGACAGAATATAAAAAAAACAACGAATTACTAATTTTTCCCTCCCTTACTATTCTTTTGGACTGCAATGAAAGCTGGCTGAAAATCTCACAATCAAATCATAGCATTTCTGTAACTATTTGAAAAACGAAGTAGTTTATAAGTGAAACAAAAACGAAGTTGCTGGAAAAGCTCAGCAGGTCTGGCAATAGCTATGAAGGAAAAAACAGTTAACGTTTCGGGTCCGGTGACCCTTCCTCAGAACTGATGGTGGCTGGGAAAACGTCAGTTTATACGCAGAAAAAAGGGGAGGGGGATGGGGTAGGGAGTAAACGATAGGATAGAGCCTAAAGAGAGAGAAAAGAGCAGTTGGACAGACAAAGAGTTGATAACGATGAGGCTGGGAGGGTGAATAGTTAACGGGAACTATTAGTGACCAATAACCGGTAATGTGTAATGGGCAGGCTATGTGGTAACAAGGCCCTATGTGGGATCGGGGGCTGGGACGTGGGAGAGTTTAGGCCCTAAAATTATTCAACTCGATATTGAGTTCGGAGGGCTGCAGGGTCACCAAGCGGGAAATGAGGTGTTGTTCTTCTAGCTTGCGTTGAGCTTCGCTGGAATATATTATCTAGCTTGACAATATTCACTTATATACTATACAAGTATACAAGTGAATATTGCTCCCCTGGTGTAAGTCTGGGAATTAGCAATGGAACATAACGATATCATGGTGGAAATTGAAAAGATATTTTGTATCCCTCTTCACTGCAGAGGATGCAAAAAAAAAATGCCAGAAATAATTGGTCAATCAAGCATTGAAATGAAGGCAGGAACCTAAAACAATGACAATCGCCACGAAAAAGGGTACTGAGGTAAACTGTTAAGACACAAAATAAAGACTAAAAGCCACAAAACCCCAGCTCCTGATGGATGTCATCCCCTAGAGTCTTCAAAATGTGACTGCTGTACACACGACGTTTCAGATCTGATGACTGTGTGCTCTGAAATTGATTGTTAAAAGTTTGTGAAGCTTATCAGGACCATAATAAAAATTGCTTTGTCGCTTAGCATTTGATGTTTGATAGTTTCTTCACATTTGATTGTATTGGCATGGATCAGGGGAAATGCATGGGACATTCAGAATGGACGATGGGAGGTATGGGATGGCATAAGAAGAATGAAATGGATGATAGGATGGGACGGGGATAGCGTAGAAATAAGGGATGAGATGGCAATGATAGGAGAGGGATGAAGGGAATAGGATAGGTATGCATGAGAAGGATTGCATGGAATGGGAATTTAAAGAAATAATGTTGCAATATAGATAATACAGATATACCATTCTGTAGATTAATGCTTTGTGGTTCTCAGCTAGTCTTATGTAAACCTTGAATAGTAAAACTAACAATGGAATTAAGTTCACCATACACTACAGAGTTTACTGATTTGTAAATCTTATTTACTTGAATGTGCTTTGGAGAACACCACAAGGAGAAACATCACAAAACTAGAAAATAGAACCATTTTCTGCATTTCTTCATTTTCTGTGTTCTAAATTAGAGTTAATAATTTGTTGTGGGTGTTTTACCACTCTCCAAGGTGCTGAAAGTTATGACTTCGTAATTTTATATTTATGCATTGACTTTTATCAAAATGTACAATTATTTACATTTAGTTGTATTTAAATAGTTTTGGATTATTTTCTCAAGAGAAACCATTCTGCTTCAGTAATCCTACAAAGGCTGGCCACAGCTTTCCTACTTTTTCACTATCATTTCTAGGCA